CAATTGCTGAGGCGCAGGCAAAGGCTCAGGCAGCTTTAGCACAATACTTGGCTCAGGTATGTAACTTACTTTCTCTTTCAGATGTGGTTTGATTGTTTTCAATCATTCTGAGTTTATGACATTGCGGAATGTTTCTACCTTGAAGTGCGCTCGATGTATGTTCGCATCTCTCTGTTCGCTTTCCTGCGTGGAGTTCTACCTTAAAAATTTGCAGTTTTTGCTCTAAGCTGTAAATTTATTCATCTAGTGCACCTATGATTTTTCAGAGCAAGAATCTAGCGCTACAACACTCGCAGCTGCAGCAGAAGAAAGAAGAGAAGAAGGATAATACTCGTCCCATTAGCAGTACTCCTGTTAGTGGAACTGCTTGGTGTGTAGTATGGACTGGAGATGGAAAGGTTCGTTTTTGACACTTTCATAATTGCTGGGTGTCTCTGTCTTGTTCAGTTTATAAGCGCAGCCTTCTTAGGTATTCTTCTATAATCCATCCACAAAGACATCTGTTTGGGAGCGACCGCCTGAAATGTACGGAAGAGCTGATGTTGATGTGCTTGTCAGCAAATGTCCCGAGGTCAAAAAGGGTAAGCGTATTGATTTTGTATTTATTTTTTACCCCTACGAAGTCGTTTTAGATGAGCCAGAGCATGCGAACGCTGAAGGTGATTCTGATGGCTCTGATGAAGAAACTGAAGATGGAGGACCACCGAAGAAGAAGAGTCGTTCCGAACGCAAAAAGGAAGCTCTGCTAGCTCAGCAGAAAAAGGATAAGGTAAAAGCAACGGTTGGTCTAGTCAATTCAATACTTTTGGGCCTTTTTGATTGTTGTTAGTAGCCATGAAGATGATCTCCATGTTTTTAGGAGAAACCTGTCCGCCAAATGCTAGAGAAACCAATAGATCCAGCAGTTCAAGCTGAGCTTCAGGCGCAGCGTGATCGTGAGAAGGTTGTGCGGCAAGGTGTAAAAGTTTTACGCAAATAAATTTATATCCGTTTCAGATGCCTCTCGAAGAACGTCTCATGCAATTCAAAACTATGCTCGGA